GAAGGAGGACAGGGTCCATGTCCATAGGTAGATATGATCTGTAAGATGCTGCTCTGAGGCACAGTGGATTTCAGCTCTGAGATGCTTTCCAGAAGGCCAATGAGAGAAAGGGGGCTTGCTGGTGGCTCCTAATGGATGGGAAGATGGGATGAGGGTGGGGGTATGCAGCTACCCTGGCAATGTCAGGGCCCACATAGCTGTGGTTCTGCACACTCCCTAACCACTCGGACTCTGTGCCAAATGGAAATGGGCCTTGTTGGAGTCATATTTGGGCAGGAACTCTCCAAAGCCCCCATGCTTGGCTTACTATAGGATGGTCACCCTATAATCGTATCCCTACTCTAGAAAACATTTTTGTGACCTATCATCAGTACAATAAGATTGAAAATAATGTCACCAGCTGCCCACCTCTACCACCCTGCCTTTGCCTATATACAGGTAAAGAAGAATATTCACAGTGCCTAATGGTTAGGAGAGGGTGAATTAATCAATTCGTGTCAACCAGGAAGGCGATCTCTGATAGTGGACCACAGGGGCCTACAGCCATGATCCACCTTCTCCAACATCCTCTTTTGATGACTTGGATAGAAATACAAATATACCAAGCCTATTCCAAGATCCATGCCCCGAAGGTATTGCTCATGAGGTAGATAATGAGATTATTTTTGAAAAGCATCTCTTTCAGCTGGAACGATGGGTCAAAAACAGCCAGGTAAAATTTAACCAGATGAAATTGATGCTTAGAAATAATTCAACTTTACAATTATAGGATGGCGTTTGGAAGCCTTCATTGTAATCCAAGTTAAAAAATCAGGGTGTTGTGTTGTAGTTGACTACAAGCTTAATATAAGCAAAAGCAGGATGAGGCCACTTAAAAAAAAAAGCGATTTAGTTTATGATATAGAAAGCAGAATAATCGAAGAAGAGAAGAGGGTTCCCCTGCTCTGCACTAATCTAAGCTATGTGGAGCCTTGGTTTAAGCCCCCACATCCCTTTTTACCCAGGATTTTAATAAACTGCAAAAATACGGAAGTGAATAACTGGAGTGAGTAAAGGGACCGAGGAAGCCAGGTTACGAGAGACTGGAGGAGACAGAGATGTCTGGCCCCCCCAAGCAGGCCGAATGCCCCCCTGAGGTCTATTTGCATGTGTCTTTCAGAGTGAGCTGACACTTCTGGATTGTTCCAGGGGCAAAATTCTAACAAATGTGTAGATGATACGAGGAAAGTCACTGTACTAAAGAATGTTCTCACGGTAGCAACTGCCCTAGCCATTGCTACCCTCACAGCAGTGGACTATGCCACCCCACGGAGCAGCAAGGGCCCCGGCCTAACATTTAGAAGCGTCAAGCGGGTTTCGGCTCTGGATTCCATTATCTCTTCCGACTGGAATTCTATGCTGCATTAAATATTGTGTTCAGCAGTTTAGAAGGTATGGAAAAGGAGAGTGGATTCTAGGGAGGGAGTTGGCTGAGACTGGAGGAGGGGCACCCAGAGGATTCAGATGAGACTCTGCCTTCAGGGAGCAAAACCAAATGATGTCACACGGGAAGCAGGGGAAACTGTCAAGAAGTGGAATTACTGCCCTTCACATGTCATCCTTGCCTGTTTTTTCTCTTTCTCTCTCTCTCTCTTTTAAAACCATTTGCTGCTGCAGCAGCTGAGCCCTGGGCACCAGGGCTCTCTGCCCTGCATGCCTAAAAGGAGGTCAGCAAATAAAGGACACAGGCATCCATTGGCACAGGGAGACTGACCTGCAGTGGCCATGTTCATGGGGCACCCTGGCGCTGGGTCAGAGGACGCCTGACCTGTTTCAGTTCCCATCCAGAAGGTTATTCTGTTGAAAGCACAAAGATGACCAAAGTCGTTTGCCTTTTACCCCATGCCACTTGCAGATTCCAGGTAGACAGGCTGATATGTCAGCCACCTCAGCCTGGCCAGGAACAGAACCTGCCCCAGAGGCCTCAGCCAAAAAGAGGACTTGCCCTCCCTGGCCTCCGCTCCTCCCGGACCCTGCCTTGGGGACTCATCTTCAACCCAACTCCAGGGACGGGAAGTAAGGGCTTTCATGTCATATTCTTTGCAGCTGTCCTAGGAACCAACTTGATCGCAGATGACACTCCCGCCTCTCTCAGGCTTCACCAGGGTTGCTTTCAGCTCGTAGCGGGATTGTATGATTATGGTGATTACAGCGTATGGCTTTTTTCTCTCTTCATCTTTTGCTCTCAAATTCGTCGAGGCCTCTTATTAAACACGGCGATCTTGGTAAAGTCAGCAAAGTTTTAATAAGACATTTTTAAAAACTAAAGAAAGCCCCGTCAGAGTTGATGGTTAATGTGTTCTCTCAGACATTCCTTTAAAGCCCTGTCAGATGCAGTTAGTGCCTGGGTCTAAAAAGGGGGAGAAGGGGATACAGGGGACACCTGTACTTATCTGCAGGGCTGCAGAAGCATCGTATGCCATGCCTCTGACCTTTCTCTTTTGCACCAAGAGCATGGTGCATGGAACCCCCATGCCTAATGGGAACAGACAGACTGTCAAGCAAGGACAGGACACCCGGCCTTACCATCAGAGCAGATTAAGTGGAGAAATGAAGACGAAGCATCCAATACAAAACTCAACCCACCTTGTGATCTACAGCACAAGTTGTAGGTGGATTTTACCCTGGATGATGCTGGAAGTTTCCAGGGCTTCCATCACTCCATTATAGAAAGGAATCAACCAGAAGCCTTGGTGGATCAGGATCCAACAGTCCTGTGGTTGGTGGAGGCTTCCTTGGTAATGATATGGCTTTAGACCCCATTATTTACTAGTCCTCAATCATAGCTTTCCTGAATAATTCCTAGGTCTATAGGACATCATGCAGACCACCAAGAAGGAGTGTAAGTTGGGTGATAGCCACCAGAGCGCCCCATCTGCCCCCCAGCTGCTTTGTCCAGGTTTGGTGTCAGAGTTCTCATCATGTCCATGTTCCCCAGGGATGAAAGAGGCAACCGACAGTGAGGGTCTTGTTCCAGCAGGAGTGTGTTTTGAGACACCCCTGAATGGGCCACTCTCATGGGTAGCTGCCCTAAGCCACCTAGATTGTTCCTTACCCTGACTGTCGCCAGTTACCTGCAGTTTGGTCACCAAAAAGAAAGGAGCTGGGTTGTGACTGAGCTGCCTCAACCACCTCGAGTCAAAAGTCAAAAATGTGGCTACAATATACCCCCCCAACTGCAGTCACCTCCCCTGCTGCTTTGCCTCCTGAGAACATTGTCCCTTTCGTGCCCATAGAAATGCAGACAAGTGAGCTAAGTTAGAGACAGGCAGCCCCAGTGGAATCCCTACTTGTCCACCTGATATGGTATAAGACCCTGGGGACAAGTCGCTCACACGCCTACTACATGGAGTAAATGCCAGCACTAAAGGAGGACATGACAGTGCTATCACCTTTTGGGAGCTCACCGTATTAGACCATGTCATGCTGGACTTATGGTTCCTTTTTTTTTTTTTTTGGTGGTACTGGGGATCGAACCCAGTCCCTGAGCTATATCCCTAGCCCTTGGCTGGTTCTACTCCAGCTCTACCTCTTAGTTGTATGACATGAGCAGCTCCTCAAAGCCTTAGTTTCCTCATCCTTAAAAGGGACATAGAGCAAATGATGATGTGGGAAAAAATTACATAACATGCTTAGCAGACTTTGCAATGTATGTGCTCAGCAAGTGTGGCTCTTAGTCTCATTTTCATCATTATGATGCCATTTGCAATCCAAGCTTAGCTCTTCACTTACCACTTTGTTTAATTTCCAACAACACTCTGCGAGGTGGGTATCACTGTATTCATTTTTTGCAGTTGAGGATGGTCAAGTGGGTATCTCATTATGACAATATGTACAAGGTGCATTTATTACAATGATTGACGTGGCAACTACTCAATATATGAGAGCCATTATTATTATTATTACTGTCCTAGTTTACGGTTGACTCCGAGAGCTAGTTTCTCTGCTTTGCTCAGGAATAGGGGGACACTGGTGCCCAGCAGGCCAGCTTCTGTCCTATGACTGATTTCTCATGACCCCTAAGCATGTCTCAGGTAGCCTTGGGAGCTATAGATCCTATCAACCTGGAAAATAGAAGAACCACAGGTAAAATGTTACATATGTTGCTTGCCAGGAATTGGTATTTGGCCTCCTACTAAGGTTAAGGACTCTGTGAAGCCTTCTGCTTCCACACACAGATCATGAATGGTTCTATCCATGATAACAGCATAAAATGCAGTTTTCCAACTGTAGCCCTCTGTATGACAGCCCCATTCCCAGGAACGCTCGCCTCTCAGCTGTCTGCCTGCCTAGAGCCACCCTGGGCAATCTAATCTCACTAAGTCCAGTTGCTCCCTCTGCCAGATAAACAGAGGTTTCTATTTTTTTAAGCCACTTATTACATAGCGAGGTTGTTGGAGGAATCTGAAACAAGTGACAGGGGATGCTTTGAAATCTCTCAACAAACCAGACCCCTGGTGTGTGTACTCCTACTGCCTGTAGCACTGACAGAAACAGCAGAAAGGCCATTTGCACTGACACGAGTGGCTTTCTCCTGGGGAGAATTTAGTTTTTGAATATGTATTTTGAGGTAAATGCTTTAAGTTTGCAGTACTTGAAGTCAAAGATCGTAGAAGCTGATGTAAAACCCCATAGCCAATCACGTGGCTGCTTAGGCAACTTGCACGAGATGCTTACGTGAGTACCCATGGTGTGAACACGCACATGAGCGTGTACACCTGTGTATACACCTCTGCACAGGTGTGTGCACAGGTGCATGTGCCACCTGCCTGATACACACCTGGTGTTCAGTGTATGGGAGATGTGTCGCCATACACTGCAGAACTGCATGTGCCTCTGCTTGGACTGCATGCCGCTGCAGCCGTGTGCCGGGGCAGGGGCTCCTCTAAAGCCACAGGTCTTCATGGTTTCAGCTGGATAAGTTATTCTTCACTTCCCTTCCCCAAAACACAATTGCCTAGTGCTGCTGGCGCAGAGTCAGAATGGCCGCTGCATTTCACCCCCGAGGTGGCTTCCTTCCAGCAGTGGGTGAGTGATCCCGGCGTCCGCACACTCTCTAACCTTGGGGATCCTTCTGCATAGAAGGTGCTCCAAAATCCAGCAGAGATGACCTGTCTGTCTGTGGCCTTGGCTCTACCCACAGCTCCTGTTCTCATCCCATGGTCCCACGGACAGTCAGCGGTACCCATTTCTTGGTGTCTCTATTTTTTCTGCCCAATTTTGCATTCATGATTTTTTTTCCTTTGGAAGAAACAAGGAGCTGAGGAGGGTCCAGAAACAATGCCTGTCCTAGGAACAGCGTGCAAATAGCACCTTAGTTATTGATCCTGTTGATCACGTCTTCAGATTCCCATTCCCTAGCAGAAGAAGACAGAAATGCCCACTTCCATTCAAGATGTTTTTAAACCCAACAGCAGCATCCTGAGGCTTTGTCTCCCAGCTAAATCTTCCCCTTTCCTCTTGCTCTGAGAGCCCTGGGTTAAGTCCTGCAAGAAACCTCACATTTCTACATACTAGATTACCAGCAGGGAAGAAAGCTGGGAAACTGCCCATCCACTGTCCCACAGGGACCCAAAACATCTCAGCAACATGTGGAAAGAATCTGTAGGGAATAGGGAAGTAAGCAAGTTCTCTCTGCAGCTAGGAATCCCAATGACTCAGACCCAAGTGTCCATCCAGGCATCTCGAAAATGCTGTTCAACCTGTTCCCTGATATTTTTCAGTTACAAATGCATGTCTCCTGAATGCATCCTGGTGGTAGGAAGGAGAGGGAAATGAGCCAGTGCTCTTTGCATATGCATCCTAATGAACTTGAACATTCACTGTAGTGTCCTTTTTTGGAGGGCAGTGGGCAGGGGGGTCAGCAAGTTGAATGCCTGTGCCTTCTAGCTCTGCCTTAGCTAACTTAACCAGGGGTCAATGCACTTGTTTGCAGGATATGGCAGAGTTAGAATCCTCATAGGTCCCTTGGAGAATTGTAGGCTGCCAAACAAGTAACTTTCTTTAGCTGTAATGTCCACAATATCAAATAACTAAACTTCAGCTGCACACTCTCCTGTAGTCATAGTCAAGGGTTACTTAGTTGGGGGAAAGTAGCATCAAGTTGTTGCCAATAGCAACACAGTCATGTCTCTCTTTCCTTGAGTCTTTTCATCTTGCCTAATTTGGAGTGAACCAGCACTTAGATACCAAAGTACATTTGGAGAGGAGAGAGGAAGAGGCAAGCATTGTGTGGGCCACATGCAGGCATGCTACTGAGGGGCTCTGCAAGCAGAATGCACCCCTCCACTCCCAAGGCCACTAAGTATTGACTGCAAGCTGAGGGTAGAAAGGGCAACAGGGTTTGTGCAGTTGGGACAAGTGGAAGGAGAGAAGAGAGATCGGGTGGAAAAGTGGGCATTTTCACTGCAGGCGATGCAGAGTAGCGGGGACATAGAAAGGCACAACTTGGGAAGGAGGCCTGGGAGTCTGTGCCTGGGCATTCTGCCACCAATGTAGGGCTCAGCTGCTGAGCCCTTGCCACTCCTGGCACCCCTGCCTGGTTCCAGATTTGTCCCTGCACAGCTGGAGAGACCAAGGAGAAAGGTCTATCATAATTGACCCGAACTTACAGGCAGAAGTTAGCCTCGGCAAAAAGTCCTGTGAGTGGTGAGGCCGATGCGGGCAGGAGTCAGGGATCAGGAACACCACCCAGAGAGGACATGTCCCCGAATCAGGCACTTGACCTAGAATGGTTTGAAATTGGGTTAGTTCTAGTTGCAATAAGGCCACTCTGCCTGGCCCACCTTGGAAAGGTACATGTCATACCTGCTTCCCGTCCTGCCTGGGAGGGGTAACTAGGGAAGATCCCAGAGGCAGCAGGCGCTAGTAACACAGGGCAGTAAAGAACAGCAGCTTTCCCTGACCTGCCCAGCAGTCCCTGCTAAAGATCTGTGTGCACTCCGCCACAGTGACCTGCAACCCAGCTCAGTGCTGTGACCAGAAGCTCCTTTCACCAGACTCATAGCCAGAAGGGGGCACCTCCCCTGTCACAGGATTTCCAAATGTGGTGAGAAGCCCCAGGCAGAGCAGAAGCTGCCTGAGATGGGCAAGTGTGCTCAAGAGCTAAAATCTCTTTTTCACCCTGCATTGCCCAAAAGCTGGCACAGTGTAGGTGGGCCAGGAAGAGATCTTAAATGCTGAGTGTTTCCATCTTCCTCCTCCCTGAAGTCACAGCCCATGCAAAGCAGGTGAAAGACTTCACAAAGGCCAACCACCTCGGCTCGGCCACAACTAGCTGTCTGCTCTCAGGCAAGTTCCTGGAGGTGTATTTGAGTCTGTTTCTCGTGCACTTAGTGGGATTAAAGGAATATTTAAGCAGCAGGGGTGTTGTGGACATTAGCTCAACTGTTTGTCAAATGCCTTTTTGCTTGACACGCAATAGCTGCTCAGAGGTCAGTCAACTGGCACCTGTCAGCTAACCTGTGTCCCTGGTGATGGGACCATCCCCATCCTGCTGTCATCAAGGTCTAGAAGATTTGAAGAGAACACTTGCAAAGGGAGGTACACAAGATATCAATGTCACTCAGTTGGGGAAGAGGAAGAAATTAAAAAAATGTCCTGGGGGATAAGGAGATACATTGGTCCTTTTACGTTAATTCAGATAGGAGGGCTGGCAACTTGCTTTTCCTAAGTTCAAAATTTTTAAATAATAATAAAAAAATCACTGGTAGGTATTGGAGCAAGGTATCTGAACGTGCTAAGGGTCCCAGTGACATTTTTGTGGGGAAATTGCTTTCAGATAATGTGACTTCCAGGCAAATTCCATATTCCTACCATTTATATGGCAAAACCTGGTTGTTTATACCCTCTACATATGATGGGCTGTTTCAAAAACAACCCATGAGTTTTATCCTGATCCTCTTTCTTATTTTTTAAAACAGATTCAAGTTTAAGTATATGTGAATATAGAGTGATTTTTTTCAGCCAGTGAAGTTTCTGATATTAATTCAATTTTCACCATCCCTTGATTTTTTTTAAAAAGGGGGTGTTGTTTTATGTTTGTGCTACATCTTATAAAAACTCAAATAAAGAGAATATTTTAAAACAAAATAAAATGCCCTTCAGCCCCTGAGAGAGATCAGAAAGCTTGGTGAGGACCCAGGAGAAATACAGACCCCAGGAATGAATCTTGCCACAGGGCTTCCGCCCTGACTCACTGCTAAAGGGCGAGACAGCCAGAAACACCCGCCTCTCCCTTCTGATGCTGCTCTGGCCGAGCTCTGCTGTGGATCAGCCGTGTGTCATGTTTGACTTGTCCCATTACCCAGTTTTCCCATTTCATCCACACCACCTTGCTTCACAAAATGAGTAGGGGGTGATGGGAGATGGAGAGTTGGACATGTTTTAGAGCAATTCTGTATTAAGTATGGATTTTCCTGCCCCCTCTGCCAGAGTTCCTTAGACCCCTAAACCATCCCAAAAGGATGTCCCTCTCTCTCCCCAGTCTTAAGCATCGCGGAGAAAGGAGATGCCATAAGCCTCATTCTTACCATTTAAACTGTTCCTTTTGCCTTGCTCAGTGGGGAAGGGTCACCAAGAGCACCAACCCTCAGAGAGTCACCTGATGAATTTAGGCAGGTCTTTGTCTTCTCCCTTCACCTTCTGAACTCAAGCCAAGACTCTTACCTTTCTGCCTGGCTCTTGAGTTCCAGACTGCTGTCCTCAGCTAGCCCTTCTAAGTCGGTACTACTACACACGCATATCCTTTATGAATATGAGCATGATCTAGCTACTCATAGGTCACCTTCAAATTCCTTGAAAGGACAACCCATCTCCAGAGCCTCCCAATATTTGCCTGATGAAGTCACTTGGTGAGCTCTATTCAGCAAAACACCTTTTTTCATTAGCAAGGATGAAAATTCCTGGGCCTCACACCAGGGGGATCCGTGTGGATCAGCAGAGACTGGAAATAGTGTTCCAAATTAGTTTTGTTGCAAGTTCCAGTTCCCGTAGCAGAGGAATCTGGGTTACTCCCATACTGGAGGAGAAAGCACTGAATTTCTCCAAAGGCAAAGATGGGCTCAGCAACTGAAAAAGAGTAAGAAGTGGGAAGTTCCCAGGCAGAGATGTGACAGCTGGGATCCCCCGCCCCAATCTTTCTTTCCTCCTTTTGAGGTGTAATTACATACGGTAAAATGCACAGATCTAAAATATATGGTTCACTGAATTGGACAAATGGATACACCCATGTGATCTACACCCTATCAACCTAGAAAATTCCCTCCTGCCCGCTTCCAATCAGTCCCATCCCTTTTCCCCAGAAGCAACCACAGATGATTTCTATCCTCAGAGTTGCTCAGATTTTGACTTGATGCATTTGAGTTCTGTCGCTTTGGTCTTGGGTCATCTGAACAAATCAGCAAGAGAATCTCATCAGCAGTTCCAATATGTTTATTCCCTTACCATTGAAAAGGGTTCTCTCTGAGCCCCTAGTGTTTGGCTCTGCTGCCCCCAGTATGCCATCTGACCCCCAGGGTTATTCTCTGAGCCCAGTCCTATCCCAGTCCAAGAGTTTAGCCCCCATCTCGCAGGTAAGTAAGTGTCGAAAGTTCTTGGTCATGGGGATTGTGCATGCTTTGTTGATTAATATCTGAAAAACGCAATGCACAGGGCCACAGCATGTCTAGCAGCATGTTGATTTTCCTTAAAGCCCTGCACAAAAGGGAGCAATTCCTTTTGTGTGTTTCCTTTCAGAAACAAAGGATTCCATGATCACCTTCTTCCAGGCTTCTAGCCATCGAGATGGCCACAGAGCTGAAATGATTAGTCAGAGTGGAGGGTGGGAATTGAACGTGTGGGTGTTTGTAAACCTAGTACTAAGCCCTGTGGTCCATGAAATTGAATGATCCCAAGTCCTATTGGATTACACTTTGCCAAATGTCTCCAAGGTGAAAAGCACTTTGACTGTATGCAAAGCTTTGGTGTCTCTGGAATGTACCTTCGGCAGCTCGGTTCTTAATCACTGTATATTTTTTCACTTGGACAAAGGCTGCCTGCTAATAGCATTTTCCACCACACTCAGCTGCTTCGTTCAGCGACGCCAAGGCCCTGGGCTGAGCTGGCTGCAGTTTCCTGGCACCATGACCCATTCCCAACTGACCAACACTGAGGAACATCATGCATTCACACCCTGAAAAAAAAAATGCTCCCTCTGTAGCTGTGCAATTGCCAGACACAGGCGGAGTTACCTCTCTCCTTCCTGAGCAGTTCCTTTAGAACCATCCAAACTGGAGGCAGGGATGGAGGAGAGGGGAAGGGAGAAAAGAGCCCTAGGAGTGCAGGCGGTACCCTCCTGTCTCTGGGCAGAACAGGTGCCTCAGGAGCTGCCTGCAAGCCCCCATGGAGATATCCACTGGGGCAGCTCATCTCTGAGCACAGGAAGCCTCTGCTCAGATTTCCCTTTGATCCCTGAACACTACGGGAGACTCAGCTCTTCAGAAGGGAGGCTGCTGCTGAGCTAGTGGGATTGCAGGATCTCTTCCCCCAAAGCCCTGGGCCAGGCATCTAGCCATGCCTGCGTCCTGCATGATTAACTGCCTCCCAGCCCGAGCCTGCCCTCACTCACCCAGGAGGTCACAGTGTAGCCAGTAGATTGCAGCTGGGCTGAGCTGCTTCCCAAGCTGCCCGGAACCCGCATGACCTCCATCTTTAGCAGCAGAACTGGCATTTGGTAAATGCGTGAGTGCAACAGTGGGGAGAGGGAGACAGAAATGCCAAGCCACAGCACCTGGATTGATGAGAGGTTGGGAGCAATCTCAGGAGTGGCCCCTGGGCTGGTCACCTGCACCATTCACCTCTGAAGTCCTGGGAAATAGAAATGGGGGGAGGGGAAGGCAGTTGCAGGCTGGCCACAGGTCTTTGGAGTCAGCTGTGAGGCTGAGCTCCTGGACTATGATAGGAAAAGATTAATTAGCAACTCCAAGCCCAGCCCAGCCCTGTCTGTGAAGCTGGGAGGAGTTAAGGTCAGGGGTGCCTCGGGGCCAAATTCACCTAGAACAGATAGACACATCATCCTTCAGAAATAAAATATCCAGCCCCCTCTCCAGCCAAAAATGACCTCACTAATGAGGATGGAGCTGCAGTGAGGGTTTGGGCAACTAGTGAACCTGATTTTCCTTGTCTCTAGGCTTTGAGCATACATATTGGCAAAAGACACTTATTCAGAAGAGTTGGAGATTTTTCCTCCATATCTGCCAGTTAAATCAGAGCCCCAAATGCCATATATAGCAAACCAAAACATATATATATATATTTGGGTACACACTGTGTTGTTTGTGGTCCTGGTGGAAGATAGTTGGGAGAAGAAGGAGGAGTTGGTATTAGGTGTATAGCAATAAGCAGGACCCAAGAGGAAAGCAGAATTCTTAGATCCCTTTCATAGGAGCAGGGATGGGATGAGTGATAGGGGATGGAGGAGCTCACCCCAGGAGGTCCCTAAACTCACTCTGTCCCAGTGAGGACCCCCAAACACCTTCCCATGCTTCCTGCCTTGGGGCCTGCACCGAGAAAGCACCTTCATTCCCAGGTGGACCAGCTGGATGACAAATGCCTCACCCCACACTCCATGTAAGAAAGGTCACTCAAGGAGTGCCATTGATTCCAGGGACTGGAGGGGAGGCCTTCAAGGCCAGCCTCTGCCTTCTAAGAGCTATTGTGGTACCTAACCTGCTGTAGACAAAGAAGTAGCCATCCTGCTTAAAGATTCTCAAAGACTGATACAGAAACCCTCCAGGATTTTTTAACAATCTGATTTAAAAAATCCTTAGCCTAGTATAAACGTACCCTGCTGCAGGCTAAGTTTAGTGTATTTTAAGATTCAGATAAGGTTGTTGATGGGGAGTGTAGGCGATTTTTTTCTTTTCTTAAGATAGGGTGAAAAATGAAAAGTTTTTGTCTCACTAGCAAAAATAGGGAATGAAAGAAAGGGGGAGGGGGAAAGAAGAAAAGAAGGAGAAGGAGATGCAGGTTTTCCTGTAGCTCCTGAGGGCAGTTCTGTTTCTGTCTAAGCACCCATCTGTGCCATCAAAATTCTCAGCCAGCCTGGCCGTGTCCCTCTGTGGAGACCTAAGCCAGATGACATGTTGTCCTGCATCCAGCTAACTCCAAGCCTGTGTTGTTCATTTTTAGATATGCCCATTATCCATCAATTCATCAATCAGCAGGTTTATCGAGTACCCTACCAGGCTTCACAAACCTGATCAATTTTTTTTAATTACATCCAGCTTACACGCAGCCAAGCCCAGTCATCTAGATGAGCTTCCCCGCCCTGCTTGGAAATGAACACGAGGAACTGCTGGCCCCTGCAATGTCACGACCAAGCCCCACAGCCCTTGCTGACAGGGGATGGTCTGCTACCCTTTGCAGATGGCGATGGTGTCGCTGACCCGCTGTCAATAATACTATGATGAGTTTTGTGTATTCTCCTAGACGCGTGATCTATCTGCTTGGGTCTGGCCCCACTCTCTGGACCTCTGCCCAATGAGATATAGATTTCTGAAGAGGGTGGGCCAAGGAACAGGTGCAAACTCTGTCAAGGGAAGTAAACAGCAACTGATCCTCGTTCATCTGCTCAGCCTCCCTTTGGTGTCCTGAATCCCCTCCCAAACCAGAGGCTCCTCAAGCATGTCCCCAGGACGTATAGACAGCTGGACTCTCCGGGACATCTAGGCCTCAGGCACTGGGCCTCATGGTCCAGTGTATTATCTTAGCTTTTGAGAGGAATGGCCACATAGGTTATAAGCAGAGACCTTTAGGCTTCCTGACATGGGGCCAGCAAACTCAGCCTCTGGGTATCACAGGTGGAGAGTTGAGACCATAAGGAGACAGCAGGAGTCCACTGACCTGGCACATCCAGTGGTTCTGAGTCTCAGCAAATGTCCCTGTCATTTTCACAGTCCCAGAACCCATCCTCAAGAGGACCCAAAGCTTGTGTCTATCCTACATTTCAAGCAGGATTCATAGATATTCTGTGTTCCCAAGACTAGTTAATTTATTCATTTCTAAGTCACCCAGATCCATAACCACCATTTATTTGGATCAACCCACCCTTCCTGACCTCAGTATTCCCTAATCCACCTTTTTCTCCTATTCTGCTTGAATAAAATCAAGTTCAGGGGCAGCCCACAGCATTAAGAGGTGCTCTACCCCAGGGTTTAAATGCCTGGATCTTTGGTAAGTAAAACTTCTACACTCCCAAAAGTACCAGCCACACACCCTCACTCCCTGAACCTGCCTTGCAGTCCTGACTTTTCCCACTATCCCCAGTTAGGATTCCCATGCTAGAGACCCCAGTCAAACTGGTCAGTCGGGTTGGTGAGTTGTTTGGCCTCTATGGCTTGGGCAGCAATTAATTCACCTGTCTGGCTCTCTGTCTCTGTCCCTCTGTGTGTGCGTGTGCACCTGTGCGTGCCTCTGTGCCTGTCTCTCTGCAGGGAAAGTCGCTGGCGGGCAAGCGCCTCACCGGCCTGATGCAGTCCTCCTGAGTGTCCCCACCACAGGGCCAGGGCCCGGGCCCTCAGAGCACACGGGCAGGCGGCGGCGCTCCACATCTGCGGATAGAGTTTCCTTGCGGGGAGATTTGGTCACTGTGAAGGAGAAAGAGTGAGGGCCATGGAGGGTGATGGTGGGGAGACTTGGTGGGTGAACGGGGACACCAGGAAACGTCCACAGACCTGGGCCAGCAGGGAGAGGCTCCTGTTTACACCCTCTTCCTTGTACAGTTGTGCGCCAACACTCCATCGACTTGGAGGCCCTGTTTCTAACTGAGTCAGGAGAGAGCAGCTCATGGGATTCCCGTCGGACTATCACTTGAGATTATATTCTTATTATCCTCACTCCTCCTGCTGCCTGGGGGAGTCACACCCGCCAGCAAATGCAAGAGGAGCAAGTGGACCCTGGGCACGTCCAGTATTATGCATCGCCCCTCTCTGGTGCCCCCACAGGGTGCACCTTCGTCACAGCCACCGTGACCCTCCCCACAACCCCCCACCCCGACTCTGTGGCCACCTGGGTATGACCAGCCAGCACCAGGCCCAGTTCCCACATAATATGTCCAGATCATGTTTTCAGTGCGAAGGCGACCTCACCTCACGTGCTTTCCACCCACTTTGAGACCAACTTTCAAAGAGGTCTCCATGGGTGTGGTGGCAGCCCTTGGGTCCCATCAGATGTCTCAAGGGCCCAACACTGGAGGATGGGAGAGCACTGGTGCAGATGGAAGAGCGTGTTGATGAACAGCCATGGAGGTTCTGATGACCATCTTTTAAGAAAATCATTATTTTATTTTTCCTGTCTTTGCACCCTTGCTCCTTGGTTTGTTCCCTCACATTTTACTTAAAATAAACACGGCCGTGAACTTCAGGGGCCATTGGGATTCTCCCCTCTGGCAGCCTCAGGTGGAAGCTAGGAGGGCTCCGGCCCGGGAGGTGGCCAGATTGAGACCTGGACACCCCTAGATGGTGGCATTCTGGTAGGCACAGCCAGATCCTTGCTGGGTCAGGCGTCAGTTGTTCCTGAAGCTTCGGCAGAGTATGCTATGGCCGGTCCAGGCCAGGGCCATGTGGTTCCCTTCCCAGTCTCAATCTGAGGGCCAGCCAGAGCACTCCTGTCATCTAGGAGAAAGCAAAGCCTGAGAAAGATCCCCCGGGTTCCTTGTGTGAGTGTACACATGTGTGTGTGTGAAAATGACTTCGCCAACATGGCTGTGAGGACGTGTATATAGAGCACCGAGTCAGGTGCCTGACACATAGTAGGTGCTTAGCAAATGGTAGCTAATACTGTCATCGTCGTCACTGTTGTTATTGTGATACCCATGAGACCTGGGGCAGAGCTGTATTGAGCAAGCTGTTTCTGAATTCAGACACTCAACCACCCCTACCTGCTACGATGATCCTCCTTTGATCTATTTTTGGCCACAGGTGAAAAAAAAAATCTCCCTTGGGAGTGTATAAACAGAAAACATAGAAGGAAAAAAGTGATCCTTGGTGTTTCTTTACTCACGCAGGAAAATGCACCAGCTGGTGACCAAAGGCTCATTGGATCGCCATCCAGCCTTCTGGTGCTTCCCTATGACCCCCGACCTCCGAGTCCTGTCTTTATCTGCTTCCACACAACCCTGTCCCCAGACCCCCACTCTCCCATCCCTCACAGTAGAGCCATCAGGAACATTAGGAGTCTCCATTATGGGGTATCCTCATGGGTTCTGAGCACCATGTCTATCCTCCCTCCCGGCTGTAGTTCTTCTCTCTTCAAGATACAGGAAATTAGAAAGATGACATGTGTGGGGTCCTGAGAAAGTTTTCAAAGGGGCAAGACAGACCCAGATTCTTGGTGGGCACACCCACACTTTCAGCACCAAGCCCTGCACTTTGCAGATACTTGGTAACTACCTGAGTAAATGAATGTGATGAAGCCTTATCTCAAGTGACAAGAGTCTAAAAAGGGGCTTCTTTCCACTTTTTTAAAATCCCCTTTTTATTTATACACACTTCCTGTTTCAGAACAAAGTTATTGTCCAAGTTCATTTGCACCCAACATTGTCCCAACTGTGCTGATAGGGAGGCATGTGGACAAGGAGGGTTCCCAAGCAGTGGGCACCTTTGTACCTTCAGTTATTCAGGGGAAGGGGTCTGGCTGCCTTCTGCCCCCCCCCCCCCACACACACACAGGCTGCAGAGGACATCCTAAGTCAGGCTGTAGACAAGGCAGGGTCAGCTTCCTGGCCATGACTTCTGTGCCCCTTCCTTCCTCCCAATTCTTAACGGTTGCTCCTGAGCTATGCTGGCCTGAGAATTGACCTTCACCATGAAGGTCCCTAAAGGGCCCATCCAGAGCCAGATGGACTGTGGCCCTGAGATGGAACAAGCTCAAGGATTCTAACCACCTTGGGGACATCCAGAGGGGAGGACAATGACAGCAGAGGCTCCACAGAGGTGAGGATACCTCAGATGGATTCAAACCCAGAGCAATAACCCCCTAATCCTCACCTTTTTTTTTTCTTGGCAGAGGCAGTCATGGTCCTGTGACCACCACCATGTGCTCCTCAGTAGATCAAACAGGGGAAGGAAGGAAGTAGGACAGGCTGCTTCACCCAAGTTTGCCAGTCCAAGGCCAGCCTACCACTCAGACCTTTTAATGCAAGGATTTAGAAAATCGGGTCTTGGCCAGTTCCCCATCGGTCTGGTGGACATAGCCAACATTCCAGACTAGGTTAAAGGTTTGAAGGTAGTTTTGTAGCCAAGCAGATTCTCTGTCCCATCCTGTCCCCTAAAACCACCTGAGCTTCCCTGACTGGGCATGGCCTCTGGGCCTAAGATTCTTTCCCCTGAGGGTTTGCAGGGTAAATATCATTTTGACAGACCATGTCCAAAGTATCAGGGCAGCCTTAGCAAGTGACCACCAACCCCTCCAGGCAAGACACACGGGCCCCAGGGATGAAACATCTGAATGAATTAACCTTCCCTGCCTGGGAAGAGGACAACAGGTATAAACGCCCAGTGGCAACCAGATGGCCAGACCCAAGCAGCTGGAACTCTCTGGGTTGGGGGAAGGCTCCTGCTCTCCCAGAAAGTGATGTCCCAACTTTGTCCTCCTGGGAAGGTGTTACAATACCCCAGAGGCCCAGCTGCCAATGCAATTGACTGGGCCTGGGTTCCAGGTTCTCCACTGCTGAGTGGTCAGTACCAGGCCGACACCTCAGAAGGGCCTCTTGCAACTCTGGGTTGCTAACTGACTAGCTGAACATGTAGGGACATGCTCAGGGGTTCTCCCCTATCAGGATTCTTGGTATGTTCAAACTACCTCACCAACAGGACACTGACCCAGGAGCCTGCCTCCCACCTGGCTCCCTTGCTAGTTTTTGGAAATGGATATTTTTCCTAAAATGCATCCTTCCTGTTCTGTTCCAAATGCACAGGCTTCAAAAGCCACCACCAGGAAGCCTTCCCAGAAGGTAGAAAGAATTGAGGGCTATTGGTCTTTGGGTCTTACAGAATGTAGAAGCTGGGAAGCCCTGGGCTGGGGGAAAATAATGTGCCATCACTAAAAAGGATCTGGCTGAGATGAATGTGTAGCAAGGACCATGAAATAGTCAAACAGTGGCCAAATTAATCACTAATAACTCGCCACAGGAACCTCTGAAGGGAGGCCTGTGCTCATGTAACCATGGCAACAGCAGACGCCAGCAACTTACTCATTAGTGCCACCCAGTAATAAGGCATCCCCTGGGCAAGACCAGGGGCCATAAAGTAGCAAAGTAGCAAATGTAGCAATAAGGGGTCCAGGGCCCCAAAGGGGCAGGGCCTAAATTACTAGGGCTCAGACCTCTCCCTAGCCCCCGTAAGGGCTCAGAGCCAGCTGCTGCCAGCTGTCTGGGGAGAGGAGGCCCTGCACACCCCAGGATCTGACCTGTATTCTATGCCCATTCACTGCATGATCTTGGACACATCGGAATGGCCTCCTCATAGTGCATGTGGTTCTCATTAGTTTATTTTTCTGGAATTTGGGGATTGGACCCCAGAACCAAACATGCTGGTAATAGTTTTAAAATAAATGACTTGAACCCACTACAATCTAGCTAACTCTGTGTGACTCCTTGGTTTGGCTGTTCATTGGGCAGGATTTATTTCTAAGGGGAAAAACAAAAATCTACCATTCCTCCCACCCTCTACCGTGCCCCGTTGTCACATGTGTGGGCTCCTGTGCAGAAACACACACACACACACACACACACACACATTCTGTTTCCCTCTCACTCCCAAGGATGCTAGGCAGCTCAGAGAAGCCAGATCATTCTGCTAGGTTGGGATAGCAGTGTCACCAGAAGGTTGAAGCCCCTACTTCCACCGGGGTATCCTTGGCTGGGTGGTCTCCATGTCCCACTGTCTGTGCTCAGGTTCAAACCCAGTGGCCACTCTGACACCACCTTAAATAAAGTCTCGGGATTGAAGTCCATTGCATACAGACGGTGCTCTTTATGGGGAGTCTTGGTTTCCTGAGCGACAGACAATCTCATTTCCCGCTAACACCAAAGCAGCAGGACTGAGAGTCAGGCTGACAAGAGGAGGAAGAGAACAAAGTAAAAAGGACTCTCTATTAATGACGAGGCTGGCACCTAGCAGCACGCTTCAGTGGCTGGAAATTTTGCTCCTGGAGGTAGAAATGATTTCAGAGGCATAGACATGGGTCTTCAGTCACATCGGGATGGGAGCCAAACTCTCCCAACCCCGAGACACCTCCTTGAGCAGAACTTCCTGCTCTACAAGGTCAAGTTCAAGGTCACACCTGCCTGGAGTCTATAGTGTGTCCCACCGTTAGGTCCTGGCCTATCCGCAAAAGAGCCACGCTTCCCTGTCCTCCCGGCCATGGCCACCCCTCCTACCCAGCCAGACCATCTGGCTTCTTTCCAGAATATTTGTTTAGCAAGCTGTCACTGTGTGTGCACACAATCCTACAGACCACCAAGGACAGAGGTCTGCTTTTATGTCAAGGGTAGTGGAGGACATTTGGGGCTGCCACTAATAACCCAAGGATGTGGGGGAGCCACCTTCACGGCTTCCTCTCTCCCTATACCCTCTTGGGGACTTTTGACCTAATAGGCAGGAGGCTGTCCTTCCCCCTGGGGCCAGTTTCCAATTGTTCTTTGAGTCTCAGCCTCTGAAGGACCTTCTGGGCCTCTGATTCTAGGAGTCTCCTGACATGTGGCAGCCTCTAAACCCAGGTGGCCCTTGGACAGGCAGGTCCCCTCCCGAACTGACAGAGCTCTGCCTCAGCCTGCCTTCCTCAGCAGAAGCAGCCACAGGAACTGCTGACTGCCCTCAGTGCAACTCCCCAAGCCTGCTGCTGGGGTCTTTCCCTTCACCCAGCCCCCCAGCACCTGCAGTGGGGGTTACAAGATGTCCCAAACCCCACACCCTGAGGGGCAGCCCCTCCCGTCCCCACTCTTGAGGAGAAGCTGCAGAGTCTGGTTTATTTTAAAGGGGCCCGGGTGAGCAGTACAGCTCAACATGAGCTCCATTTACAACAGAGCTCCTTGGTACACTGCTACTTCAGCCACCTCAGAACCCTGGAGCGGCCCTGGCCAGGTCTGGCTTATTTCAGCCTACAAAATGACAAGACGGAGAAACAGCCCCTAATGGCAGAGACTGACCCACACACCCTCGTTCTGGGCATTTGTTTACGCATTTGTAAAAACAGTAATGAGAATTTTGAAATCTTACAGTGGCTGTGAATTAATATAGAGGGCTTAACCCCTGCCTGGCACGTGGCATTTCTGAATTGAGGCTGATATCAGCTAGTGCCAGGTCTGAGGTAGGCACTGGGAATTGGTGAATGTAGAATACCTCAGCCAATCTCTGACAGTCAGACAGCTTCCCCTCACACCCTGGCCCTTGGGTGCCAGCCCTCCTCACCAACCCGGAAGTGGTGGGCTTTTTTGGCCTGTGCAGGCAGCAAACTCCAGGCCCTGCCTGTGACAAGCCCCTGGCTGTCCCTTCCCAATAAGGTCCCAGTTCCCTCACTGACACTAGGATGGCCTCGATTAATGCCCCTACAGTAGGCCTCAGTAAGGATAGAATGGGGGAGTGGGGGTCTCCCTTCAGACCTCTATGGTAGTGGGCACAGCAGGGCTCGCCGCACCCCCTCTGGATGCCCATTTGCCCCACAGGGCTTGTGGTCACTTCATTGGGATCTGGATTCTGAGTTCTTGGTCAGAAATATTCCATTTCAGGACAGGAACTGAGAACAGAAACCAGGTTGAGAAGCTGGGCAAGGCCTCCGTCCTGGGAATGCCCAGGACCCCTGTGGACACACATGAATCTCCACGGAAAGAGGTCCCTCTTTCCTGAAATGTCCAACCAAGCAAATGAAGCCTATTTTTCCTCTTTGTCAAAACTGTCATCATGGAAAGACGGTTTTCAGTTGGGGAGGGTTGGGAGGGTTAGTGAAGGAAAAGTCAAAAAGTGAGTCAGACCCCTAGATTTCTCCTGCTGCTGCCTTTCCTTGTGGTCAGACCCTCAGGAAGGATTCAGTGTATATCAGCACTGAGCAGGAATTCCCAGATTTTTTGGACCAACTGTGAGTGTATGTATGTGAGTGATACTTTGTTTGTTTATTGAGCTTTAATTTACTTATAATAAAGTTCCTCCTTGATACATAAGGTGCTGTCAATTTTGACAAACTCATCCAATGATGTAACAACACCAAATGTTCCCTGGTGCCCTTTTATGGTCAATCCCTTCCCCCACCCTTCTGCTCCTGACAGCTATTGATCTGTCTGTCTTAGAAAGCTGCATAAAGGGAATCACAGAGTAGGTGACCTTTGAGTCCGGCTTCTCTCACTTAGCTCAGTGCCCATCAAGGCATGTATAGGTAAGACATTCCTCAATTCTTTGTTTTTATGCAGAAAGAAACTGAGGCCCAAAGCAGAAGAGTTTGGGTCTGGAGCAACAAAGCTCAGAGCACAGGTCTCAGCTACTACACAGTCCTTCAGTCCCATCGGTCATACCTCAGCAAAACCAAAATCTGTAAGCCATTCTTTGAGAAAGCACATGATCATAGAACATGCACACTGCAGAGAACGCATGCCTTAGTCGTCTTACAGAAAACTCTTGCTTGGAAACAAAAAGAAGCAATGATGCATATCAGATGGGGATGGGGAAGGATTAACTATAAAGGAGCCTGGGGGAATCTTTCAACATGAAGGAATTATTCTCCATCCTGACTTTTGGTGTGGTTACATCATCCCAGAAGCAATGGTGCAGTACTTGTTGCAACTCTGGGTCGGTGGACTCCTACCAATAACACAGGAGCTCCTCCATACCTTCTGCAAACAGATTGATGAAGAGTAACAATGTGATGAAAGCTAACTGACAGCGTAGTGTTGGAACAGAGCCCAGGGACAGAGAGATCCAGGTAGAGAGATGCAGCCCTGAAAACCAGGCCATGTGAGGAGATAACCTGGGGGGTGGTTCTCTGAGAGATCTCAAAATCCAAATAATTGGAGTTTTTAAGGCAGCATTATGAACTCATGAATTTAAATATATCTGATGTATTTCAATCCCTCACATGTATTATCCTTATTGATGTCTAAAGTGCCCCATTTTTGGCCAGTGAGAGATTGAATTCTTTAGACATGACCTTGATCATCTTTGATAACTTCATTGTTATCTGGCATGACAAGATAATTCAGAATAGTCGTGCACATCTCTTGTCCTGTCCCTAAATTCCAAGTGAGTGAAAGTCTGTGAATGCTATACCATAAAATCATGCTGATGGACTTGGCCTATAAACTGAGTATCCTATGCCTCCAGAATATCAGGATGGAAAATGTTTTTTAACAACCAACTAGTTCAGAGCCTCCGCTCTACAGAATGGGAAACAGAAGCCTAGAAATGTCAAATGATATATCAGGTTACACAGGGCTGTGTCAGGGCAAGGGTTAAAGACTAAGTTTCCTGATTCCCAATTTCTGTGCTTTCCATGGGCCTTCGTTTCCTGACACGGCCTCGGTCCATCTCCTCAGGCCATTCCTACCAGGCCACATTGCAGCCTTTTCTGTGTGTACTGCAAGATTGACAGGAAAAGTGGAAATACCCAATTTCAAAACTTGTGATGAAGTTACAGTAATCAAGACAGTGACGTATTGGTACAAGAATAGACATAGAAATTAATGGAGTAGAATTGAAAGTCTAGAAATAAACCCACACATTTACAGTCAATTCATTTTTTAACAAGAATGCCAAAACAATTCACTGGGCAGGAGAAGGGGGGAGGGAGAAAAAAGAGTCTTTCTAACAAGTGGTGCTAGGACACCTGAATAAAATTGAAGTTGAAGAAAGAAGTTGAATCCCTACCTCACGCCACATGCAAAAAGATAACTCAAGTGGATCAAAAAGCTCTGTAAAACTCTCACAAGAAAAAACAGGAGCAAATTCTCATGATCTTGGGTTAGGCAATGGTTTCTAAAAACCACAAAAGAAAAAGAAAGATAAATTGGACTTTATCAAAATTAAAAACTGTTGTGGTTCAAAGGACATCAAGGAAATGAGAAGATACTCCTGGATTTGGAGAAAATATTGACAATCATACATCTAGGATATATTTAGAACTCCTATACTCAATAATAAAAAATATAAATAATAAAATTAAAATATGAACAAAGGATCGATTTAAACATTCCCCACAAAGAAGATATACAAATGGACGTCATTAACCACTGGGGAAATACAAACTTAAACCTGCAGTGAGATGCCACTTCACTCACACCTGCTAAGATGTGAATAACAAAAAAAACAGACAGCAAGTATCCATGAGGATGTGGAGAAATTGGAGCTCTCGTATGGTATAAAGAATGCCAAAATGTTAAATGGTGGGAATGTAAAATGCTGCAGTCACTTTGGGAACCTTTTCTCAAAAGGTTCAACTTAGAGCTACCATATGACCCAGCAATGCCACTCTACATATACACCTAGGAAAAAGGAAAACACATGTCCACAAAAAATTTGAATACTAGCATTCCTAGAAGCATTATTCACAGGAACCAAAAAATGGAAATAACCCAAATGTCTGTCAACCAATAAACAAGCAAACAAAACGTAGCATCTCCACACAAAGGTACATATTTGAAACAAAAAGGAATAAAATACTGAGCCGTGCTACAACGTGAATGGCCCCTGAAAGCATTATGAGAGACGTCAGTCATAAAAGACTGTGCAGTGTAGGATGCCACCTCCATAGAACATCTGGAAGAGGCAAAGCTGTAGAGACAGAAAGTAGATGAGTTGTGGCCTAGGGCTAAGGAGATTGTGGAGTGGAAATGAAAAGTCGCTGCTAATGGATATAGAGTTTCTTTGGGGTGTAATGAAAAGTTCTACAGGTGATTGTGGTGATGCTTGCACCACTCTGTGGATAGACTTAAAACCACTGACACAAACTTTGAATGAATTGTATGATATATGAATCATATTTCAGCCAAGCAACTAAAAAAGAGGAAGGAAGGAAGGAAGGAAGGAAGGGAGGGGAAAGGGGAATAAAAAAAAAAGAGAGAGGGAGAAAAGGAGTAAAGAAGGAAGGAAAGGAGGAGAGAAAAAAACAAAAGAGGGAGGGATGGGGGGAAGGAGGTGTCTAGAGACCAGGGAGAAATCCAAGTCTGTTTTTCTAAATCCTCAAGAGAATGGTGCTGGTGGCAGTGAGTGAGTGAAGGGCTCACGGAGGACTTTGCAGTCCTGCCTAGTGCCAAAGACAGGCTCAGGAGCTTCCATGTTATCCCAGAGCAAGTGGTCCATTGCAGCTGACTGGGCCCACTCTGAAAATAAAAGCCCTGAGGCTCCGCCCCATGTAGGAAACTAATGTGATCGGATGGATTAGTGGTCTGCACCAAAAGAGACCCACTCGACATACTCTTCCTATCCAACATGAAGCTTGTTTTCCAGAGCTTCAAGCCCCGGGGACACTTGGGCTGTAAGAAGAAATGCCCTGGATGCAGAATCAGAAGACTTGGGTTCTAGTCTTGGATCTGCCACCACTAGCCATGTGGTTGTGGCTGGTGACACAGCTTGCCTGAGGCAAATGTTGCCCCATCTTCAAAGGTTACAAATTACGAGGTTTGAGGACCCCAGGAATCCACATTTTCATCAAGCGATCCTAGGTGATTTGGGGGCTCATGGGTAGGAAGCACTGGACTAGAACCTACCTCTTTTCTTAGAGCATGAGGACTAAGTGATTCTGGGAACAGAGATTAATTGAAGTCCAGCATAGACACATACCTCTTATCCACCTCTACTTCGATCAACATGCCCACCCCCAACCTCCCAGAGGGTACCCAGAACCAGTCAGTTAGAATGGTCTGGCAGTACCCAGAATTTCCCTATAGCTGCTCCAACCCCCTAGGCTGGCTCTCTGCTTACCACCTTTACAAAGCCAAGTTCTGCAGCAGCCAGTCCTGTGTTCCCCTCCTAGGAGGGAGGCCTTCACTTAAGGGTTAAGGAAGCTGTACGCATACGTGTGTGCACACACACATCAACAAGACTCTGAGCTTATCTATTAAAGTTAAATGCTTCTATTCATGCAAGACTTTGCCAAGGTGAACTCACTGAGCCCTCAGATAAATGCATCAAGTCAGAAACAAAGGGAAAACATTGGGATCAAACCAAAAGATAAATTACAAATCGGATTAGTGGATCTTCCCCTTGCTCTGCCATGGAAGCATGCTATTAGCTATCTAGACGTGCCCAGTGGCTTGCAACACCCACACAGGAACATACAGGCAGCATCCACAGTGCCTCTCTCCGGTCAGGCACAAAGCAGAGGTGACCTTGACACTTCTCACTCCTCAGCCTCTAGCACTCAGGCTCATGGCTGCAGTCAGAATTCTCAGCTTTGGGCAGGAAAAAAAAAAAATGAACTTTCCCTTTGGCTCTCCCCCATGGTGCCAGCTGGCGAGCCCACAGACCTTCTGCCAGTTCACGAACACAGTGTTCTGTGACATTCCCTAGTCCCTGCTGCCTCCTGCCACCCCCTTCACATCCCTGCCTTATGTCATGGCAGACTAGAAATGACCAACCAGCAATCGGCATTGCAAGGAAGACGAGAGCTGGCAGGAAGCAGGAGCACATTTCTTCCCAGAAAAACAGATAGGCATGAGGCTGGGCTTGGTGACTGGCCTGAAAACGAGCCAGGGGGCAGGTGTCGTGGGAGACAAATCCTGGGAAACTGAAGTCTACAGTATTTATTGAGGTTAGCCACGTGGCAGGCATTGTGCTAGTGGTCAGGCTTAGAGAATCGGGTGAAAGTGTTCTTGTCTTCAAAGACCACACCTTCTAGAACGTACAGATATGTTATAAACCCACGTGGCACAGGGAGACATTGGTACAAATAAGATGCGCATTGCAAGGAGTAACAAATGCTACCAGGAGGAAATGGGGAAGGACCCAGCATGATAATTCCTGGCCTGTCCCTAGAGCTGTGTGGAATGAGCGTTTCTAAGAGCGAGTGGTCCAAATAGGAACAAAGGCAGAACTGACAGAGACTGAAAGCAAGTGACCTGGGAAGAAAGGAAGAGAAACTGAGATCATGGCAGGAAGTATTCAGTATTCAGAGGTGGGGCAACTTTGA